GAAGGAGGGCGAACCTGTTCGCATGGCTTCGAAAAACAAATATTTGCGTTGAGTCGAGCCACTCTTCTTGCACGTCGAAAATGTATTTAATGTTAGCAGTGAGGAAAAGGATATAAAACAATTCAGCAATTGCATTTGGGAAATTTGCTCGAGGCGAAATATTGACAATATAGTTTTTTTCCAGGTGAATATTTGAAGTGTATTTTGTCTGCGCTTGTTCTCCCATTTACGAAGATCAACGAAAACGTATAATTTCAATATTATATCCCTTGCTCGATATATGATAATTGGCACAATAAAATAATGTCCAGTCTTGTATTGTATTATCGAGACCATATTATCGAGCAAGAAGAATTATTAGATTGTTTAAACAGTGAATGCAATTAATCAGTTTTATGTTGAAACTGATATTGTCAGGACATTTATTACGTAGCGTATCAATACCGGGGAAATAAATTAATGGCTATTACTGAAGCTCGATGTTCTTTTAATGGGCTGCTGCTGCGCGGCTACTTTATCAAACGACAAAAGAGCTCTCGTGAAATCGAAGCATTAAATGCATAAAAGAATGAGATATTATCGAGCCATAAAAAGGACAGTCATGTAATTTACATTCCTAATTTCTTGGAAAACAAAAATATTTTGCAGTAATTCGTTCGAGATTCATTTATCTTATTACCTTTTTACTATTCTACATACGAATAGAAAAATTTCCGATTTTTGTACTGTTTCGAAGTAATTAATGGCGCTAAGACGAGTTTATGTAAAAATTCCATTTTTACTGAGTTAATCAATTTATTTCAAACGATAAATTAATGTGAAGAAAATAAAGAATCGCGCGTGTACGAGGATATGAGATATGTACCTTGGTAAATGTGAGGGTAGCTATCGGCGGCAGACGAGGTAGATTCGGATAATAGAAGCTTCCCGCGGGATGTGCCGGATATCGGGATGTGATCCTGTAAGCGATTCCTTGGGGCTGCGTCGGCCAGTTGGCAGCCGTGAATGTGAAGCCGTTATCCGTGCCCCCATCCAGCGGGTCGAGCTGTTGAAAAAGGAATAGTAGAAGTGGTTTAAACGAACGAGCATTCGTGGATTTTAGCAAAATGACAGGGCGCACAGCAACATTTGCGGAGATAGACGCATAAATTATATTTCGCGACCAGTAATATTCAGACATCTGACTTTCCGGGGGCGATGAAAGCGCGATTTACATTTTGTATACATATTTCGTAACATTATACAACCGTATTAGCGATTGCCCGAAATGTATTTTATTCAATGGCTGAATAATTGAACAAGTAGTATAGGCGTAACGTGAAAATAATTTTTTTATTATTACATATTTTTACTCCTTCCGTCTGAAATCGGAATCTTTTTTATTCAGCCCGAAATTTTTTTACTATTCTAAGTTTTCAAAAAAATGGGAAAAAATTCAGAGTTACTCAACATCTCTGTTATTTTACCAAATGGATTTTTAATACAATGTTAAAACTTTTATTTAATAAAAATTGAAATTTAAGCAAAAATGAGGAAAAAAATAGAAAACATAGAAAAATGCTCTCCTCTCTCTTCATTTCGAAATTTTGGAGTGAATTTCGCTCATGCCAAAAAACCTAGATTATAGACGTAGGATTAACAGTTCAAGTTACGTAAATGAATAAGGTTAAATTTGTATGACAATTAAAAGTAGTATTGATATTTTTAAAAAAGTACAAACTACATTGCATTGTACATTCTCCGTATTGCAACCATTTAATTTTCTCTTTCGAGAGAAATTTCGATTGCAGACACGTTGAGTTTCATACGTATTAATGCTAAATGTAATTACCTCTACAGTAACAGTATCGACCCAATTGCCCTCGACGCACAGTTGGAAGGAATCCACGCCTACGAACCAATCGGGACTAGGATTGATGCGCGCCATAATGCTAATTAGAGTATGATTGCCGTCCAAAAAGGCCCGAGTGACACTCGTGCCTTCACCTTGGGGAATCGGAGGACCCGTGAATGAGTGAAGGCTGTTGGGCGAATCCCCATCCGTATCCAATCCATCGGCTCTTCCGGTTTCTACATATAATCTGGCACCCGTAGACAATCTCTCCCCTAATCTATATAGGGTGTAAGTTGAGTCGTGCGTTCGACCTGCAAAAAGACACAATTGGACCTTTATTACAATCTCGTTAAAATACTTTCAATTTAGTTGTATAAACTTAAAATATTTTTAGTACAGAATTTCTGTGATAATGACGAAAAAACCAAGTTGCAAATCGATAGGGGAGACCGGGTTTCGTTGGCACAGTTTTCACAATTTTGGCATTAGACTTTTTAAACAATTAACACTATTATGATTAAAATACATCAGTGTGATAGAGAGAATCTTTCTCTACATTTTCATACTAATGATAGTTCTATATACTGTTTATTTTCTTTGTAATAAATGAAATACGAACATGCTACATTTTAGTTAACTTGCTCCAATATGTTGGATAAATTGGTACATATCACAGTATAAATTGCCTTTGTGATAAATTCTATATTAAATTAACAAAAACGTAATAGAAAAGTAATAGAAATAAAAATTAGAGAGTAGATATGTACTTCTTAGTAAACATTGTATCTTTCAAAGTTATTTTGTAATCATCAAACAACAAAATGTTGTTACAAAAAACAAATATAAATTATTTTAGTTCTACCTTATTTTAATATAGAAATATTAGATATAAAATGTTTTGTCGGAGTTAAATTGTAAATGAATGTTCGCACGTGCGGTACAATAAGTTAACCCAACTTTTTCTTATGATATGAACCAAAGTACCCCATCCCTACGTCTGATTTTGACCATTTTATTGTAATAAATTACTATTGCTACTCAAAAAATAACGTATTATATACTAACAAACACTTTTCTTTTAACTAATAATACATCACTTAGATTTGTTTTCTCAAACCGAAGGTCATTGATATGAAATTATGAGATGATCAAAAATTTACTTGCCTGCTCTTGAATTAGATTTTTTTTCTTTTTCTATTGTAATACTTGTTTAATTTAGGTGAAACTTAGGGAGAAGTACCTATGTATGAAAGAGATATTTTGCAGTAACTTTTCCATTGTTTCTTTGGCCACAAATACATAAACGGAACGCAATGTCAACTTACCTCTTGTACCAACGAGACTCGGTCTCCCCTACTGGGTACATATATTACACGTATATGTATATTTCGAATAAATATATTCATTCATTTGAAAAGTATTTAAAGTGGCGTTTGTTTCTGATTTTGTGAAACGCGACGATTATACCGTAATCGTTATCCAACTGGCGATGAAACAACGACCGCGCCGCGATGCAAATGCGTTTAACGATCAATTACTCTTGCCAAGTATTCCGGAAACCGTTCGTCGTTCTGTTTTCGTTGCTCTGAACGTGCTAAGTAGCACGTGTTTAAGGCACTTCGTTAACGGCAGATTCGTTGCTTTTGTCGCGAATAGCGGCCGCGAACGACGGAAGTCGCTCTCGAGATAGCCGAATTAATGTCGAGGGAGAGAAAGAGAGAGCATTGAATTTATAGTCAATTAATGTACCGCTCGAGACTCGTTGTCCGCCACTCCGGAAATAATGCGCCACCCCATCAGAAACCCGCGGCGTGCATACACACATACACACACTGATCCCATGCGACACACTCGTGCAAGCGCGCGTCTACAGCGCAATCCTGAAAAATCCCTCGGACAATCTTCTCTGACGTGCTTCACCCCGTGTCTCGTCGGTTTCACCCCCCCCCCCCTCCTCCCCTGGACCGGCATTCATCGTCACGCACGATTTAACGTTCGATCGATGGTGAATAAACGACGACCGGGTGTCCCGCGCTGCTGAAAAACTAACGTCGCTTCAAACGGAATTGCGGCCGGTATTGTGCACTACACATGCAGCTTCTATCGCATACCATTCATTTGCTTCTTTTCTTCAAGCCCTTTTTACCGAGAACCCGGAATTTTAATCAGAAATCGGCGAAACACCCGACGCAATTAAACACCACGTGTCGTAATTCTCGGAAAACTTGAGTACTTTTTGCAATACTGGTCGTATTTGAAATAGGATAAGCGTAAAAATTTCATATTTGATACAAAAGCAACTATTTTAATCAATTAATTTCTATTTATGATTGTTTATCATCTAAAATTTAATTAATTAAATTTTCGATTAATTTCCCATTTACGAAGTTTCCTATATATTCCAGCAAAGAGAAAATTAATTTCGGATTTGTCAAAGGATAATCATCGTGAAATACTGCGCGAACTTTCCAAAACATACTGTATACCAGTTTGTTTTTTATTGTGTCCAGTTATTCGCCAAAATGTTGCACGATGTGGTTTCTCATTCCATTCGAACAAAACCGAAACGTAACTTTCAAAGGGATCGAAATAGTTCCCATGCCGCAGTGGTCCCGCTGAGTTCGAAGGAGACGTAATTAGTTACGAAATTAATGGAAACCGCGAGGGATATGGACTGCGTGCGTTGGCAGACTTTACGCAGAATACGAAACAAGCTGCGTAATTCCGGCAGAAACTGTCGATCATTTACGTCACTTCGTCGTAAAAATAAAAAACTTTATCATGGAAGAAATTCGTAACATACACTGAAAAAAATTTGCAGATTTTAAATAAATATTTACTCCAATAGTACTAACGAAATATGTATTTATAGTAAATAAATATTTATTCAAAATAAAACAGTTATGTTTAAATCTCGAAATATATGTTTACATTTAATAAATATTTCGTTAGTACTATTGCAGTAAATATTTATTTAAAATCTGCAAATTTTTTTTCTGTGTATAAATGTCAAAGACAGGTATTCATATAGTCCGTTTTTATTTCAAGATCGTCTAATGCTAATAATTGGCTCTGTAATTGGTTTTAATGATACTTTAAGATTGTAGATTAAGACGGTCTTAAACACAAGGACAAACTATAGAGAGAAAGCTGGTCATAAAGAAACAAATTCTACAGAAATAAATTTTTACAGATCTTATCGAATACACATAAAGTTAGTTTCTAGAAATAAAATTTTTTACTATTCAGAAAATGACATGGTCACCGTTGCTTTATTCATGTTTTCTGCTTTGTTACAGTTATTCAAATCATGCCTTATTTAAATGAGAACGAAAAGTTCTTTCTTTGATTTAGCATACGTTCTCCGATTTTAGTTAAATCTGAATAAATCCATCTTTGTACAACGCGCTCCTGAATTAATCCAACAGGCTTGCTCAGTCAAAGTATTACATTGCCTTGCTCACGAAAGTAAGCTGAAAAAGCTATTAAAGTCGACTCGCGGCTTAAATTGGCCTCGTTAATTAGATTAATTAGTATTGACCTGTTTCTCTCACAACCGCCCCCCAATCTGATCCCTGTCTGTCTTGCGGCGTCTTCTCTTCCACCTTACTCTCACTTACCTTAGGCAGATAGAATTTATGAATGAATATTATCCTCGTCTCTTTGAAGCTCCATCTGTCTCTAACCGGGTGGTAATTTCATCAGAACTTAAATAGACGTTGATTCCATCCCGCAAATTACATTCGCAAATAGTAACGTTTTATTAATTTCGCTCGTTGCTGGCGGCGAAGTTGCCTTTTTCCAACGGGGGACTTCGTTCTTTGCGTGACTTTATATTAATAATTATTATACAAGAAAATCTAAGTATCTGTTTTTTTTTAATTTTTCGCGAATTGCCAAAATAAAAAGCTCACGGAGAAAAACAATAATAAATATAAAATATCAGATTCCGTCTTTCTTTCTTTTTTTCAATGAGATTTAAAATATAATCATAGGTTAATATCCTCAACTTTGATCTACAATAGATTTATCCACTTTTCTGACACACGCCATGAAAAATATATGCGATGTCAATACAGTATGACTCGCGATTTGAATCGATAGGTTCTCGTGATCAACCGAGTATTTTATTATAAATGAATACTGACGATTTTCTCCGCATATGCGAATTTTCTGTTGTTTTGTCGAAGTGCTATTTAATAAGAATCTGATCGCATTGAGAGATATTTTATGGAAATAACATAGCAAATTTGGTTGTCAATACAAATATCGTGATTTCGTACGAAAGTTTTCTTTAAAATAAATAAGAAATTCGTTTTGATCAACCTATCGGAACCTCTGCTATTCGCCTGAGAGATTCTTTCTTTTTTTTTACATTCGACAACCCTTGCGACATATTCGAACAGTAAGAACGGGGAAAAGCTAGAGAAGCTTGGAACGAAGATTGACGACACGACGGACGCGAATGGGCCGCGGTTCAATTCGCGAAATTCAATGTCGCTGAATTTAAACTTCTAGACGGTGAAATCAATCCACCTAATGATCGTCATAATTCACCCTGTCAAAGAATTCGCGAGGCGACGAGCTGCTTCCTTTCACGAGAATTGTATCGTTAAAGCGAAAAGCGGCAAAAATATTGCATTGTCTTATCAAATAAACTAAACATAAATTTCTATTTATTTAGCAGAGAATTTACTTGTCAAGAATTTGAAAATTCGATAGCGTATTCAGAAAGATCTTTTAATATTATATGGAAAGAATGATTTTGCTAAAGTATCTAAAAATTTAGGTATAGATACAGATCTGAAAATAATTTTGTTGAACTGTCAAAAGAATTATGTAGAAAATTCAAACATGAACAATACTGCAAAAAATTTTGACTAGTTCTAACTTTAATGTATTTGTTGATAATGATGGATCGAAAAATCGCTTTTCTGAGGATTGTTTAAGATTTAAACGAGCATCTCTGCGCTTTCCGCATAGTATTCAATTTTCATACCGGTACTATATCAAAGTCTACGTCTTAAAGCGGTCGAATTCCTGAACAAGAGGAATAAGAACAATGTCGGTTGGGGTGAGACCTTTTGGATTGGCTCATGGCGCTTCATTCAACGAAATCGACCGGGTCGTAATTGAAATGCGAACAAAGCTCGCTCATGACAATACGCGATCTTTAATTAGTGCCGCGAAGAACGCGCCGACGACGACGAGCTGAGGGTCGGTTCGTTGCCGAACTTATCCGTTTCCGTAAGTTCGGGAAAGCTTAGAGCAAACAAGCGTAATTTGACAAATTACACGCGATCGCGTCGAG